TCGGAACCTCCCCCTGTGAAGCTTGGCGTTCCCCTTCTCACCTTTCCCTGCCCTCCTTGCCACTCCAGCTGCCACTGCAGCACTTAGTGAAATGACCAAAAGGTGTAAAATGATCAAAGCCATACGACGAGGGCTACCTATTACCGTGCGGAAGCGACCTCTTCGCTGCGAAATGCGCTTCGTCTTGCACCCCCAGGAAAGGGGGAGGGCTTCCCTGCCGACCAATTACAGTTTCCCTTTTTTCGACCTCCCACTTCACCATCACATTCATTATCTACCAAGTGGGATTTTACTCGGCACTCACATATTACTCCTATACAAAGTCACTTATCTGAGCAATCACAGTTACGGTTTCTAACGTTCTCACAGTTTCAGATCGACTGTACCCTACATGAAGAATCGGACACTGTGAACATCACTACCATTGAGTCCACGAGCGGCTTATACCAGCTGTTCCAACTCCACCGCGATCTGACTTCTGCTGAGTGCCCTTCTGTGGCGGAATACTTCTCCAAAATGTATTGAGATTAACGAAGATCCAGTTCATTCCAGAATGTTCGTCTGTGTTTCTGAGGCTTCGCAGTAGTGATTTTCCGTTGCTTCAGAATAAATCCATTAGCAGCATTCTGCGAAACCCATCGCAAAGCACATCAAATTATGCTGAGAAACCAGCTCTGATTCGCGAAATTCAGATGCCAAGTAGACAGGCACAATATTGAGGACGGTCACAGTGCCTTTGAACGAAATCATTCATTACCTGAGCCACTGTGAAGGGTGCACGGGGCGGCTTCGGCTAATATCAACCTGTGATGGCTGAGACTAGATGCATAACTACAATGCTGATGGCGCTGATTGATATCTTCTTAACTCTTCACGAGGTTGATAATGACCTTTATTAGGCTACGTTTCGGCGAGGATCGCCTTCTTCAGAGCCTGAAAGGGTCGAAACAATTTATGACTACCCGACCAAATGTCTCAGCAAACCCTACTGAAGTTCGAGACCAAAAGAACTCATCACGCAATCCAAAGGTGGGCCACCTACCGTAACGCAGTCCGCTTCTCGAGACCACCAGACCAGCAGTGAGGCGATCGGAGTGTGCACAATGTCTGATGTTTCCCATTCCATCAAAGAATGGAAATTTGGGTTCTCTGTCTCACAGACAGGCTTCTCATTGATAGTCGAAACACATTACGACGTATCGTTACATACTCCACATACACATTTCGGTGCCCTCACCCACCAGTGCAATTTCCTCCCTTCGACAACCTCTATCAACTTTTTACTTGGTATCTGGGACATTTCGTAACCAAATTCTTAGAAATACCAGGAAACGCCACTATCTCAAAGGCAGTATTCACGATGGAAAAGCAACCCAAGGATCCCTTAATCTCATAAACGGTCTCATATTCTTTGACGTTCTCACTGTCGTAAATCAAGGGTTTCTAGCCCGTTTATTCGAGCTATGCTTCAGGTCCGGTACACAATAAACGTGAGCGCTCCCGTCTCACTACACAGCACTAATGCTGATTTAGCCTTCTATCAAACATTTGTTGTGGAAGTGTTGTCGAAAATTTATGAGTCCCATTGCATTTTAGACCTAACAAAGTTTTACTATTACAAGAACCTAGAAAAAGTTATTTCAACGTAGTAGTGTAGCCAAAATGTAATTTCCGTTCTCCATAGCAGAGAACCATCAGAAGTGGCTTCTGGAGCAACGGACATGTAAAACAGAATCAAGGACCGGTAAAAAACAATACGAGCAGATGTGTGGGAGCGTTTTCTCTGTTGCTCTGGTCTTCAGAATTCGTTTAGCTACATTAACTGTGGCCAATAAATTTTTCAGTTCCTAAAAAAGGCCGTCGATTTTTTTGAAAACGCTGACTATCCTTCCAGTCATTTGCACGGTGCCCTCTGCATCGTCGCTATCTTTTCGAGGAATTTTTCCCGTCTTCATTCTGAGCAGAGTTGCAGACTGGGTAGAACTGTATGGAAGCTTACTGTATTATACCCGAAGAGAAGCAACACCTGAACAAATGTATTCAAAGCAAAGCGCGACAATTCATTGAGCTTCAATTTACTCCAAATCATTTATAGTAGCAACAGTGCGAAACCAAGGATCAACTTCTAGAGGGAGTGTTCTGCTGCCCGCCTCAGCCACTTTTGGCTTAGCCGGAGCCACTCGGAGTAAAAAATCCCGCTTCATTATTTTTTGAATATCTCATGGGCTGAGGTTTTGAGATCTCTAATCTTCTCGAACAACTTCCCACTAACCCCTATAAGGTTAGGTTTGTTTTAGTTCAACGACAGCCTGATTTCGAACCATTTACAGGGGGAAGGCAAAAAAGGCAGCTCATGTCGCACTTCGGCCCTTTTTTCTTCGCAGAGATTGCCGTCGTTGACGGAAGTTCCTCAGCAAAATATTCCCTAAATGTCTAGACGCAGGCTCTCCTTCACTGCCCTCACCGTCTTCATAATACCAACACCATCTCGCCCAACGTTATGCGTCGACGGAATGGGAAGACCATGGGAGTGAAGGTCGACGACCGGCAGCTGCAACTG